GTGTGCAAAACGCTTTGCACTACGTGTCCGGTCTATGTGTTCTCTGGTTAGTGTTTGTATCAAATGCAGTTTTCAGCCAACAGTAATCATGGTAATAGAAGAAGCACTTGTGTGATATCGATAAATATGGTATCGCCATAGCTTGCGATAGCTGTCGCATTTTAGTGAAGTACCTCCTCTGAGTAGCTTTCCCACCCGATTCAAATGATTAAGGTTGTAATTTAGTTGCAGACGCGTAAATATAAATTATTAAATGAATATATTATTTTGTAACATCATAAGTATATAAATCGGTATAACAAATGTGCTTTATAATATAGTAAATATGCATATGTTTGTACATACAGATTAGGTGAAAAAAAAAGGTGGGTGGGGGGGGGGGGGGGGGGGGTTGTTAGTTTTAAGAGAAAACTGTCATGGTTTATAAATTTATGAAGTTCCATTTTTTTTATTTTTACCTTACAATTAGTCCAAATATTGTGTAAGGTCTGGTAGTCCGGGTTTGAGAGCCTTGCGTGCACGAGTCTCCTGAACAATTTGATATGGCTTAGAGGTGGGCTCGCAGGGATCACCCGGCAACAATTGCCAATGATCGAAGATACATTGAGGAAAGGCCTGACCCCGTGTACTGGTACGTAACTCGGCTGTAAAACCGAATGATTCGTTGACTGGCAAATAGCATTTAACCACATACATAGGTGTTCCTGGTACTGGTAACTCTTCAAACGCATGACCACGACGACGGCTAAGTACTTTGTGTATGCCCCCAACAGCAAAATTGTGACATTGGATTTCACACAGATACACTGGTTCTAGCAAACGAGGACTCGCTGTAATTGCTGAAGCGTAAAGGCAGCGTCTCGTTGTTGGGATGATTTGGCTACTACTTCGATGCACTGCATCAGCAGTCATGTATATCAAAGCGTATACCCCGCATGTTTTCTTCAGCCAATACACCCTCCTGGGTGGCCCATTGGAAGCCGGCGATAATCGAGTCCTTAATCTCGTTCAGATACTGATACAGATACAGATACGATATGAGACCAGAGGATCTGACGTTTTGAGTGGAACACAGGCATGATCTTCCTCCAGATCTTTAATGCAAATCTCCAAATGCAATTCACCAGCGCATGCAATAATATGTTCGCCGGACTCCTCAATTATGCACTGCATCATGGGATCGGATTTGGCCAGACGCTTCAGACCAATCACAAGCTTGGGCAAATCAGCTGGGTTTTTGGGCTCAACGGCCACACGCACAACGGGAGATACGGTGAACTTCATCACCTGCAAACGAAAAAATATAAATCATAATGTAAATGGTTGCTTTGAGAAAAACAGGCTTGACTTGCTTTCATGTTGTGTGCTTCTTTGAATGTAGTGATTGTGCCTGTTTTGATTATGAATTGATCTACTCCAACTAATCCGCAAATGTTTCCCGCTGGCATATCTTCAATGGCCTCCACAGCACGCCCCATCATCAAGACCGTACGTTGCCGGGAACATAGTTAGGCCCCATGATGCAGCACTTCTCTCCGGTAACCACCTTGCAAGCGAATACTCTGCCAAATGCATAGAAGCGTCCCATGTCCGAGCTAGGCACCATTTTAGAGATGTACATTATTAGTGGACTTTCTGGATCGCAATTTCTAATGGCGATCGCCGCTTCATCACTGTGAGGACCATCGTACAACATTTCCATGCGATACCTTTGGGCTACAACGGGTGATGGTAGATGGATAGCGATCATCTGGAGGAGAGTTTCGCCTGCAGGCAACCAATTGCGCATCACCGTCTTAAGTAACACCTTCCCCTGTTGGTTCTGCTCTTCTGGCTGCAGTCTAACACTTATCTTCTCTAATAATGACGAAATTTGTTCCGTTTTGTAGTTCATTATGGCAGCAAATGTTTTATAAATGGGCAGAATGATCGTTTGGCATCAGCATCCTCTTGCTTCTGCCATTTTCTCGTTTTTACATTGAAGAAATTGTCGCCCCAAAGTCTATGGAAGAAATATTAAATATATTTAAAAGCTTCGTGCACGGTCATACAAATGCTCATACATGTACTGTGCAAGTGTGTGTGTGCATGCTCGTCGCCTCAACGTTTCATGCCCTTTCTAAAAATAATCATGAAACGCTAATATTTTGCATTACAAACGCATTTAAGATTTCGGTATACCCTTCACTCAATAGGATAGAGCTGAGATCGTCGCGAACAAATTTCAAATTTTATGAGCTTGATGATTTCAGAGCCCATAGAGAGAGTGAAGAGAGATAGAGTGTGAGAGAAAGCAAGGCTAAAACACAAAGCGTATACGGGATCATTTTATTCGTGTTCATATATATATATATATATATATATATATATATATATATATATATATATATAT